CCACGCGCTCCGCCCCGCCCGCCGGCGGCGTCCAGCGAGCCCCCCACCGCGGGCGCGGGAGATGAGCAGCTCGACCGTGATGCCGGGTGGGATCCTGTGCCCCGGTGATGTCCTCTTCTCTGTCGGGAGGACCAATGGGCTCCCTCTTGAAGACTATGGCCCAGAATTCCATTCTCAACCCCACATTAAAAAGAAGGGAGTTTTGAAAACTCCTAGAAGAAAAAGTATAGCCTGACCCAGAGTCGAGCGTGGTGGCACGCGCCTGTAATCCCAGCATTCCGGAGGCTGAAGCAGGAAGCTCGCGGCGAGTTCGAGACCATCCTGGGCTACATAGTGAGCTCAAGGCCAGCCTGAACTACACAGAAAGACCCTGTCTCAATAATTTACATAAAGGGGCCGGGGATATCGCTGAGTGGCGCAGAGCCTGCCTGGTAAGCGCCATGTCCTGAGTTTGATTCCTGGTACAAAAAATATTTTAAATAAAGCATAAAGAAATATAGGGAGGATCTGGCTCCGTGGTAGCACACTTGCCTAGAATACTTGAAGTCCTTAGGTTGAATCTCAGCATTTCAAGAAGAGGAAGACTCCCTGTTCTGGCCTCTACTCAACCTGTCACAACCACTTTTTGCCAGGTGTGGTGCACGCCTGTAATCCCAGCACTTGGGAGGCCAAGGCAGGAGGATCTCGCTCTCACTCTCGCTCTCGCTCTCGCCCTCTCGGGTTTTTTTTGTTTTGGGTTTTTTTTTTTTGTTTTGTTTTTGTTTTGTTTGTTTGTTTGTTTGTTTGTTTGAGACAGGGTCTCGCTATGCAGTTCAGTCTGGCCTTGAGCTCACTTTGTAGCCCAGGCTGGTGTTAAACTCGCAACGATCCTCCTGCCTCAGCCTCCTTGCCTCAGCCTCGGGAGCGCTGGGATTACAGGCCTGAGTCACCACACCTGGCTATGAGGAGGATCTCTTGACAGTTCAGGGCAAAAACTTGCCATAGTGAGACCCTCTCTCAAAAAACTAAAAGAAAAAAAAAGAAAGTGAAAAAACAAAAAAATAAGTATTTTTTTTTCTTCTTTTGATTTTATAAGACAGGGTCTTGCTATGTAGTTCAGGGTGGCCTTGAACTCACAGTGTAGCCCAGGCTGGCCTGAAACTTGGAACAATCCTCTTGCCTCAGCCTCCCAAATGCTAGGATTACAGGCATGTACCACCATGCCCAGTGAATATTAAAAAATTCTTAGCAACTCAATGATAAAAACATAACTGGGTACAGTGGTGCACACCTGTAACCCCAGCTACTCAGGAGGCTGAGGTAGGAGGATTGCTGGAAGTTTGAGACCAGGCTAGACTACGAAGTGAGTTCGAGGGGCTGGGGATATAGCTCAGTGGCATAAGTGCCTGCCTGACAAGGTCATGAGTTCAATCCCTGGTACCAAAAAAAAAAAAAAAAAAAAGTGAGTTCGAGTCCAGCCTGAACTGCATAATGAAACCTTGTTTCAAAAAGACAAAAATAAATAAATAAAATAAAATAGGGCCCGGGATATAGCTCAGTGGCACAGCTTCTGCCTGGCAAATGCAAGGTCCTGAGTTCGATTCCCAGTACCCCAAAAAAGTAAACTGAAATAAAGAATAAAAGGAGTGGGGGATGTAGCTCCGTGATAATTATGTGTTTAACATTACTGAGGTTCTGGGTTCAACCCCCAGGACAAAATAAATAAATAAAATAAAAGGTGAACTGCATGGTATGTACATTACATCTCAGTAAAGCCAAGCTGACTAAACAATAGGAATGAGCCAGAGGAGGTACAGCACAGAGGGAGAATATTTGTCTAGCATGTTCAATATCCTGGTCTTAATCTAGCAATGGCAAAAAAAAAAGGCGTGGCATGGTGGTACAGGCCTGTAATCCCAGCACTGGGGAGACTGAGGCTAGAGGATCTGTGAGACTGAGGCCAGCCTGGGCTACATGGCCAGAGCTTGTCTCAAAAAAAAAAAAAAAACAATTCCAAATTTCATCTGACAGGAAGCAGGAGGATCTTTGTGAGTTTGAGGCCAGCCTGGGCTACAAAGTGAGCTCAAGTCCAGCCTGAACTGCATAGCGAGACCCTGTCTCAAAAAGACAACAACAAAAACAAAAACAAATTTCATCTGACAGCCAGCTTCTTCGGCGGCATATATCTGTAAAGCAGTTTGGGTACAGTCAGAAACAAAACAAAATGAGTTACGAATACCCCTTGGGGCTGAAATAGAATTAAATTTCCAAACCATATATCACCTCAAGGCTTTTTTTTTTTTTTTTTTTTTTTTCTTTTGAGACGGGGTCTCACTATGTAGTTCCGGCTGGCCTAAA